TTTTGGTTTAATAATATAACATTTTATAAAGATAATAATTAAGTAGTTTGTTAGAACTCAATGATTATCCTAATTATATTTTAGATTTTTATATTTAAAATAAGATGTTTATCCTGTATTTGATTGTGTTTATCTGVAGTTAGTTAYAMRGATTCAGTTATGGGATGAAATCGGATAGGGATGAACGGGTTTAAGAGTTTTAAGAGTTTAAGAGTTTTTAAGAGTTTTAGCCAAATGCATTATAATATAGTATAGATATAAAGGTGGGTTAACTGAAGATCGTGAGAAAGAAAGGTTAGATGCAGTTGGATTAAAATTGATTTAAGGGTTAAAGACTTTTTTTTTACATCTTCTCTAGTAATTTTTTTATGTTTTTTACTATAATTTTTGTTCTCAGCGAAATCCAATCTATTACATACGTGTATGTATGTATGTATGTATATTGCTAAATATATATCTACTTGATGATTTGTGAAAATCATTTTATAGAAATCACCCTCAACTTTTATAAAAAGACTTTTTACAAAAATGATTAGAGTTGGAATATCAAGCATGAAACAATTGTATTTCCACATGCCGTTTGAATATTTTTGTTCCCTTGTGCCTTTTCGGATTTGATCATTACTTTGAAGTTGGCACGATTTTCGAGACGGCAACATACACTTCCTTAACTTATATAAATGCACATCAAGTAAAACGTTAGAAAAACAATATAATACGGACTGTCTGGAATTATCAAAAAAAATATAGAGATGTAACACACTTGCACCAACATGATAAACTATAAAGATGGAGGAGTATTTGATGTTGTAGAAAAGAATTAGGTTTTATTTTGAAAGTATATTAGTAAAATATAAATTTGTTCCGAGGGGTGAGGGTGGAACACGCCCCACTTTGTTCCTGTTTGTTCTATATAAAAGTCATGACAAACATGAAACAATGATTCATTTCATGTACTTTTATGTCATGTCCAGTGTACCAAACACAATCCTTAGGCTTTTGGAGGGGAGGTTCGGACCGGTTAACTGGTATATCATCTCTAACATAGTGCATGTTATTCCCCAAGTGAATACTCTACTACTCATGGCATTGTCCTTGAAATTCATAGCCACAACTTGTTTCTCCATTTGTACCACTATCATTTGGTCGAATCCCAAAAGATAATGAAGGCGTGCAAATGTTTCCTTGGGCCAGGATTTTTATCCGAAGGTCAATTCAAAATTGAAAACTTGTCAACGGTTCGCATCCGTTTATCTAGAATCCAATTTGAGATTTTCCTTGAGAGGCATCGGGAAGGAACCTGAATATCTGATCCAATCTATTGGATCAAAGGGATTTCGCTGGTAACCATCATGTTCAAATCAGGTTGCGTACACCTCCAACTAATCTTATCGACCATGAAATTAACAGTTAAACAAACCCCAAACCAACTACAAGTGTATTATAGATTTGGAACCAACCATTTAAGAGGTCAGATATGGAGGATCAACATCAATCAAACAAACACTAAAGAAAACTATGAAGGAAGCAAAGTGTTTGCTGACTGACTGACACACACACCATCAACACAAGAATGTATACTATACATCTTTTGGGAGCTGAAGCTAACCCAATAACCACCGCTAATTATGTTGCTTATCATTCATTATACATATATTGTTCTTTTCATTATTGACATATAACCATAATCCTCTACTACGTACATATCACCACAATTCTAACAACCTCCGCCATCGGGTTCAATTGAACTTAGAAGCCCATTCCCCCTCAGCTGGGTGCAATGTTCTTCCGCATCTGCCTGTGCACACACAATCACCACCGACAGACCATTGATGTGGGCCTCCTGCATAATGTTCACTGCATTGTCAACAGTCATTCCGGGTATAACCTTCATTAGCACCTGCACAACATACTCCCTCTTGTTGTAATTGTCATTGTGTAGCATCACACGATACGGAGGTGCCATTTTCCTTGATTTCCTGAAACAAAACGAGTTTCTCTGAAAATACACCTTCATGAACCCACGATGATAGAAAAAGAGTTTTATCAAAGGTTGCCAGAATGATGATGATAGCCAAAAAAGGTATGACACTGCTTTATCCAAGTGTGTATTTGTAAAGAATTTGATCCAACTTTGGACCAAGATAGGATGAGAGCATAGATCTCCGGTGACTCAGGGTCCATAAACTAAGATGTCTGCTAATAAAATAAGAAAACTTATCTTGAAAGGTTACTTAAACTTCTGACTGTTTTGGTACCAAGGGACACTTCTAAAAACGAGATTTGTATCTAGCTCCAACATCCAGTATACTTGTATCGATTTATCTTAAACGTGTATCTGGAACAGGAATGTGAGTCCCCGATAACTTGATCACAGGTGCTTAGTGATCCAAACATGAAACATCCTGTGGGACATGCAGCTGGTATAGGATTCACCCACTCCCCCAACATGTTAAATGGAGAGAAAGGAATAGCATGGTTAAACAAACAAAATAGCTTCTTATCTAAGAAGTTAAACTCAAAACATTTCTAAATAGGTCAATTTTCCAATAAGAGATACATGCATTTGGGTGCAGGATATGAACTGTTATAAGCTTTTACTATTCCCATTTGTGGACATGTCATAAGGGGACAACAGTATGACCCATAGGTATATTCCATCGTACTATGCTATAAACATACTTCTTATCTGATGTATCTTACTTATGTGATACTTTGATACCTAATAAAAAGCCCTTGAGAAAAGTAGATGCCTTGGAGAAAAATCGAAATGATAACATGCAAACATGTACGTAGTCCAACCAGGCAACATCTTTCAAGATGCTTAGATGTTTCGGTAGTATTCCCCATCCAGTCGTAATAAATGTTAAAAGGGGGAAACTATAAGAATAAAATAAACCAAGAGTTTGCTTGCAACATCAAGACATAACACTGCAATCCTCACCTCAAATCAAACTCTGACTCTCGGCCAGGGGTTGTTTTCTCTATTACTGGCTTATCCAGCACCCCAGCACCCTTTTCCAGCCTCGGGGGTGCCATTGTCATAACTGTGATCCATTTTGTGCTTTGTTTATGAAGCAAGTACTTGTCCCCTGTAATAAGAGATACATAACCAAATATGGAAGTCATAAACAATACTTGTAGAAACAATTTGCTGAGTGATTAAACAGTATAAGCTTAGAAGGCGGAAGAACAATGATTGTACTGGTCTCACACTCATTCCAGGAAAAGTAGATCATCCTTCTGTTGTATCAGAGTAAATGAATTCGCTAGCATACAAGATAAATTACAATAAACTCCTATGTTACATAATGTCTAGTTCTTCTTTAAAGCTCATATAACTGTTGTGTTATGGTGACTTACTGACTGCATACTGGTTGCACTTTCCCTGGCTCCGTCATTGAGTACATCTATAATCATAATGCCTCGGTGGTGTTCTTAGAAAAGATAATTGAAAAAAAAGAAGAGAGAAACCCCAGTATCATGCACATATCAATTTTTCTCTTCAAAGTGTTGGGTCAGTTGATATTTCTCCACCCCATTAAAAAACTGAAATTAGAATACATCCAATTCAGGAACTCCTTGCAAGTCAATAGGAGTCCCCTTGAGAAAAAGTTAGCAGGTGCACCTACCTTCTTGAGGATGCAATTGCAAATCTCAAGTACTAAATATAAGTAAACAGGACCAGGTGCATTCACTACTGTCTTACAAGTTTCAACAGGGAGCATAGAAATTAAAGACAAGCTGGTTGCACAGGACAAAAAGTCGTAAGGTACTAGCAGTTCGAAACAAATACACTGAAGTGCAGTTGCACCTAGGATCTCTGTATATTTCAGATGCACACGTTTACAAACTCTCACTGTTTCAAAAATAAGACCAGTCTCATTTATAATGTAGCAAATATGGGTAATGTGTATATACAGTTATGCACATAGAACTTTGAAGTTCATAGTTCATACACAGAATAAAGTACTAAAACAAATGAATGAATGGAAATGTTATTTGGTAGAGTTGCAATTTAAAAAAATCCTGTTGTAACTTCAAACTATTGCTGCTTTGGCTTCATACAGTAAGATGATCAGGTTTACTCAAAGACACACCTTTTCAGGTGGAACAATTAAGCAAAGTAACAATTGGGATTTTGTACAGACAAGGATGCATTAGGGACGAAATTTACATCTACCATATGAAATATTTTCAGATATCAGTACGGGTAAAAAAGTATAGCAGAGCTTATGCGATACAGATAGACATGGTTACAATGAATACGAGCACACACTCACACAAGCAACTGATGATTATTTTTCTTTGAAGACCCATGAAACCTCAACAAAATGCTATAAATTGGGTTCATTGAGTAAAAACTTATCCCGCCCATTGTAATTCATATAGCAAACCGGACGATTTGACTAGTTGCTTGGTTTGGACTATAGCATCATAGATGATTAAATCGGTGATTTGGTGTGGTTGTTTTGACTAATTAGCCTCATTTAAAAGCCTAAAAAGTGAGCTGAAAACCTAGGACGTCGATTTCAAAAATCGATTAATATCGGCAACGATCTAGTCACTTAAAACACAACCAAAGTGATTCGTAATAGAAGAAAAAGGAACTTGATCATTGCATAAAAATAAAATAAAAAACAACGAGTGCGTGGATCAATTAAGCATAAATTGGAAAGACAAGCAAACAAATCTGAAGAATGGAGAACACATATTGATACCTGATTTGGAATGAAGAAGACCATGGTTAGGAGAAGGAGCTAGTCGACCGCAAATGGCAGTCTCCATTGCAAAATCCCTCTCTCTCTCTCTCTCTATCTTTTCACCACACACTCTATTCCCAAAAAGAAATCCCTTTTTAATCATATAAAAAACCATTTGCGCTCTCTCTCTCTCTCTCTGTGGTCTTAACTCTTTGATTTTCTTTTTATTTTCTTTTTTTTCCTTCTAATTTTAGTAACCATGTTTTGATATCTCAACTCCATTCGTATCCGGATCCGGATCCGTATCCGTATTCGTATTCGTATTCGTATTCGTATACAAACCCTTTTACATGGTTCAGATACGTTTCTCTTTTTGGTTTTTGTTCTAAAATTTTCTAACATTAATTAATTTAGTATAATATTCTATGATTTAATTATTTAAATATATTTTCTTAAAAATTTTATATAAAATAATAATACATTCAATTTTATTAAAAAAAAAGGAAAAGAAGCCTTTAAATTTAAAAATATTGATATATCTTCTATCTTTTTTTTTCTAAAAAAACCATTTCAAAAATTTATTGAAAGACAAAAATTACTAACATATTTATTTATTTTATTTTAAATAATTTCCTGGAGATGTTTTTAATACTCATATTATTTATATAACAAGTATAATAATAAAATAATTATGTCAAAATAGAATTTTTATTGGATGATGGAGTTAGATTTGTACATGATAATCAAATAATAACTATAAAAAGATCATAAATATGTGATAACTGATGTAGAAATATTTTTTACATGATTTTTTTCGTCAAAATCAATGATTTAAAGTATTGTTTTACATGTGTCTATATTCACCATATGAAAAAAAAATACATGTTTGAAACTAATTTTGTTCGCTTGGTGAAACAAAAAATACACATAAAAAAGTTTCACATGATGAAACAAATACATGTAAGACTATCACACTATGAAACGAATATATGTAAATCAATATCTTAAATCTTATCATTTGTTATAAAAGATCATGTTAAAATATTTTTAAACCGGTTCTCATGGGTTTACAATCTTTTTATGGTTCGCATTTGATTGTGTCCCTAGATTTATACCCATTTATACATATACATACATACGTATATATATTTACGTTAAAATACAAATAAAATTAGTTAAAAAGGACCAGTTAGGTGAATGGACCTAGGGAACCAGTCCAATCAGTAATTAAAAAATCAATTACTTGAAAACCAATCAGGATCATGACCAGTTATGAAAGTTCTATTTAAGGTACCAGGGCACGGGGGTTGATCCTAGGACTAAGCGATTGACCGTTTTGCCAATCTCTAGCAAGCATAGATCATATGGATATTTAGGCGTTGTTTAATTACTAAATATTTGTCGTTGGATAACTAAATACTTATTGTCTTGTAGACGAAGAATCGTGTGAGAAGGGAAGTTATTTTGAGAAATATAAGAAGAGTTCTTAACCCTTGATCGTTTTTAATCTCATGTCCACCCATGAATTGCATTTTAGAAGGGAATTGCTCTGGTGAACCTCATTAGTATTCATATTCAATTAGGATTGATCCAATAGTGGATATTTCTTTTTACGCTTCTCACTGTAACCGAATCCTTGTCTTGTATAGATTAGGAGATGTTTATCCAGTCACAAGTGATAGTGTTCACCAACAATCTAATTGTCATTTTAATGACCGAGAACTTAGTAGGTAAGAGACGTTTATACTATATTATTCTTATGATCGCGAATCTTACACAATAAGTTAAATGGAAGTGATAACTTTTACCCTATAAACAATTACTTAATTTGTGTTGTTAAACAACCAACAGTCATGCATAATTAATCACGATTAATGTTCACATTATGTAAAAACCATAACCATCTCTTAAGTGATAATATATATATATATATATATATATATATATATATAGGGTATATTTCAAATGCAACCATGTCTATTTGTACAACCAATACAACCAAATTAATTGAGATATTCATAGAAATGATGAGAGTTTATTTATTATGATTTGAATATTTATGGAAGATGAATAAGGTTCATTAATTATGATCAATACTTTATATTAGGAAACAATCAAAACTTCTATAAAATCACATTTTCATCAAATTAAATGGACGGTTGAGATTGTGTTTTATTGGTTGTACAAATGTAAAGAGTTTTATAATAACCAACCTCTATATATATATATATATATATATATATATATATATACACTCTTGGGATCACTTGAAACCAGCTTGTTTTCATGAGACACGTCAGATAACTTTTTTACAATTGAAACTTCACAGTAAAACGCTGTTAAGGTAACCTTCAAAGTGTTTTTGCTGTGAATGTTCGGTTTTTTTTAATCTTCACAGCGTTTGTTGTAAAGTTTCAAGTGTAAAAAGGTGATCTTACGGATCTCATAGAAACAGGTTGGTTTCACGTGAACCCAACCATATATATATATATATATATATATATAATATTTGTGGAGGGAGAAAAAACAGAAAAATAGCTTTGTATGCCCAGAGATATAATAAAAGACTGATCGAGTTTTATTTGTTTGTGTAAGTACTGATAGAGACGTGGACACGTGTTTTCATTTTGAAGCACCAATTATTGTTCTGGTCATATATTGATAAAATCATATTTTCGATTATTGTTTCTAATATTTTCGACTTTTTTTTAAAAGCAGCAAGGTAAATATTAAAAAACAAAACATCCGACAAAAAGGTTACAAAACCGTTCAACAACAAACATTTTATGTAAGATACCGAAAGAAATACATAAGAAACATGACCCAAAAAAACGAGGACAAAACAAATTCAATATGAAGCGAACAGAACAAAATAAAAGCATCGTCGAACCACCAAAGAGCAATCGATCGAGCACAATGATAACCACCTACGAGTAAGTGAATGAGGGCCACTGCACACCCACACTAAGATAAAACTACTAAATTGATTTTCGAGTTGCAATACCAATCTTCATAGAGAGAGGTAAATCCATTTGATCAATAGACTAACCATTGGAAAGATAAATGTTGAATGTCGAAAAACAAATCCGTGAGGAGGAGCAAAATCAGAGAACACCACTTTATTGCAGAAAGTCAAAATAACGTACGGAGTACTTCAAAGGGCCACTTGCCATATCCTTTTCGCTGAAAGGCCAGGAAGCGAATGATGACCTTCGAGATGAATATTAACCAAATACCTTAGTCCACACATTTGAATTAAACCTCCTTGCAAGTTGCAACGAATAAGGATTTGATCATTGATGATGCCCAGGTTTCTAGTAGTGAAACCTCTTTACAACGAATTAAATAATATTGATTAATTCAATTTCATCTCCACAAGAAGTTGCATGCATCTTTCCTTGGAACCATCTTGTTTCATCTACATGATCGGGTGATATTGAATGATCAAATACTATAGATGATTACTTATAATACAAAGTGGTCTAAGAGAAAAAATTTCTTAGTTTGATAAAAATATTTTAAATATATATACACATGAAAACATTAACCAAATAATATAATAAGAAAGCGGTCGAATCACATATAGTTTTACAATAAAATTACGAGTAAAGCCACATGTGTGATTCACGCGATTTTCACCACGACTTGAGGTCGTGGGCCAGGTCGCCAACACACCTTTGCATTGATAGTTAGTGTAAAATCACATGTGATTTTGCACCCAAATTGGTCGTTTTCGTGTGTTTTTAATTTGATTATTGTTCTTGTTTAAACCTCTCTCTCTCTCTATATACACACAGAGAGAGAGAGAGAGAGAGCATGGTTCTAAATAACTTGTTATAGTGTGTTATGGCATCAAGGCTTAAATAAATATAAAAAGAAAACTTAACAACTAAAAGCTTAAATAGATAAGTACGTACTCTCATTCCCATCCTCGAAAAGTCAAACACGAATTCTTTAAAAAAATGAAGAAAGTAGTGAGCTGAGATTTAAGAGATCTAATCCTGATTTTGCACCATATTTTTTTTATAAGCTCTAGATATTTGGTATTAATGATTTCTTCTTAATTTTTTTAGTTCTATTACTTTCTTTTAATTTAACTTCTTCGTTATTATTCAAAACACTAACACACACATGTGTTTGTGTGTGTATACATACATACATACATACATACATACATACATACATACATACATACATACATACATACATACATACATACATGTGTGTGTGTATATATATATATATATATAGCGAAATGTTATTTTGAGAAGTAGTAAATATTTGAGAAGTAAAGAAGTGATCATAGTCCTTCATACGGTCAATATTAGATTTGAATGGTCAATTATTGCGGCTTTGACACAC